GAAACAATGTTAACCATTGTATTGTTATAATTTGAGAATCATTAAAGTTTATATAAAGTATGTTGGTATAATATTTATATACATCTACATACAGGGCTATTGTTAACTATGAGTAGTGTGCATCCATCTTATGTTTTTTTTTATAAGAACAGTTAAAAACAATTGAAATATGATGTACTAATTTAATGTATTTATACTGGTCTATCAAAGAGTAAGTATTCCTCTTCTCAATAAAAACAAACTGCAATGTCCATCAAAGTAAATTCATATGTTCTATTTGGTATGCTCATAAGCTACTAGTATTTGACCACAGATGCCTCAGAAATATTGCTGGCATCTGCTGGAATCACCAGGTAAGTAAGAGTGAGGTTAGACGCCGGGTATTAGGAATGATGGTAAATCAGCTGATGAGGTTGTGAATCTTCATCGACTGAGATGGTTGGGCCACGTGTTGCATATGCCTGTACTCCGATTACCACGACGTGCAATGCTAACCGGTGTTTAGGATGGATGGAAGAAAGTTGAGGGCGACCAAAACAAAATGTGACATCAGTGCTTGAAGTCACTAACTTCTAGTCTGAGCCATGTTGGTAGATGCAGACTACTTGGTTGGGGTCCGTGTGACTATCGCAACCAATTTTTGTAGACTCTTGGTGACATGTCTCAGAATCGATCACAATGGCGTCAGTGTATACACTCTCTATCATCCCTAAAACTAAGAGATTAAAATAGCTTCATATTTTTCTTTCTACGAACTAATTCTTTCTTCCTGTACTATGTCCTTATATGCTATCTTTCTTTTATATATTACCACCATTGACTTGACTACTCATATGAATCCGGTGTTCATCTTGTTGTGCTAATGCGGTATGGCAACTTGAATCAATACATATATGTGCCTGGTCTTAAGTTGTAGCTGATTGACTGACAGTTTATTTGTTTATAGAAACCAATGTGATAAGTTTTTCTGTTTAATAAAATGGGAAAATCGGAATATGATGAATGTTTGATGTTATTTCTGATAAGGATAGGGATGTGAATATCAATACTGATTGAAGTGATCTAAGTAAGATTTCATTGTTCATTAGAATTGATCAGTTCTACATAAATAGTGTTCTAGTGAGAAGCCATGACCAGTGGAGTCCATCCCGTATCATGTAGAGACACGTATCTACCCCAGACAATGGATGAATGGATCGATGGAAGTTAGACACTAATACCGTCGATCATCGACTCAGCGGTCTAAAGGTTAGACGTTCGTCCACAAGAACGAAGGTCGTAGTTTCGAATCCTTTGTGCGGTATCATGGATGCACACTGGAGAGGAGTCCTATACTAGGACGAAACAGCCGTCCATTGTTTCCAGGTTTTCCATGATGATCTAACTTTAATCGACTCATGAATTCAATCCCATTCTGATCATCAATAAGATTCACCTTATTTAATTAGTTGATAACATTTAGATCCTAATCAACAATAAATCAATGTAATATATTGATATTTCTTGTATACCAAATGCTTGAAGCATTAATCTCATAATTACTTTCTCGATGTCATATATTATTTGACTTTTAAACTCGAAATACCGCCTAATTTTAAAAAGATTTTCTCAGGATGTAGATGAAGTGTTAAGCAAATAAACATGTTGTTTAGTTTTAATTATATAGATTCAGTGGAATTCTTGACTTTTAAGAATTTCCAATGGTAACTATGCTAAATAATAAAACGAGTATCAACAGAATATCTTAATTAAAGAGCAAGAAAGTATTTGTAAAATCTCAGCGAATGAATTTGAAGTAAATTCGACGTTTCGCCTGACAATCTGGTCTAATCTTTTTCAAGGAAATGTAATCAAACATCAAAATTATCGAATATAAATAGGTATATGGTTCTCCAGTTAACTGTATACTGAATAGGTCATCCAACCAATGTTAACAATGTTTAAAGTAGGTATTCACATTATTGTGTACACGCTGAGATTCTACAAATACATTCTTCCTCTTTAATGTCACACATCAACTCGGCGCCCAAATACTGTAAAGCTATTCAATCAAATTTAGACGAAAGTTCTTATTTGGAATAGCTTAATGTTCACTGCACTACGCTGAATAAAAATAAATCCCAGTTTAAAGCCATGAATATATATATATTTATTGCTCTACGGATCATTATGGAACAATCAACTGAATGAAATTCATCACTCTACATCAACTTCATTGACTACGAAAAAGCATTTGATAGCGTGAACAGAAGAACACTATGGAATCTTCTTCGACACTACGGCGTGCCTGAGAAGATAGTCAATATCATACGGAATTCCTATGATGGAATAAACTGCAAAATCGTGCATGAAGGACGGTTGGCATACCCGTTCGAGGTAAAGACCGATGTCAGGCAAGGTTCGTTACTCTCACCCTTTCTCTTTCTCCTGGTGATCGACTGGATCATGAAGACGTCAACATCTGAAGGGAAACGCGGGATACAGTAGACAGCTAGGATGCAGCTTGACGATCTAGACTTCGCAGATGATCTAGCCTCCCTATCGCAATCGCAACAACAAATGCAGGAGAAGACCAGTGTAACAGCAGCCTCAGCAACAGGTCTCAATATACACAAAGGGAAAAGCAAGAATCTCCGATACAACGCAGCCTAATTGACGAAGAAGATCTGGAAGATGTGAAAACGTTTACATATTTGGGCAGCATCATTGACGAACATGGTGGATCTCATACAGATGTGAAGCCATGGATCGGAAAAGCAAGAGCAGCATATTTACAACTGAAGAACACCTGGAACTCAAAACAACTGTCAACCAACACTAATGTCAGGATTTTCAATACAAATGTCAAGACAGTTCTACTGTATGGGGCGGAAATCTGAAAACCTACGAAAGCCATGATCGAGAAGATACAGGTGTTCATTAACAGTTGCCTACGCAAAATACTTCACATTCGTTGACCATACACTATTAGTAACAACCCACTGTGGGAAAGAACAAACCAGATGTCAGAGGAGGAAGAAATCAGGAAGAAGCGCTGGATGTGGATAGGACACACATTGAGGAAAGCACTGAACTACGTCTCAAGACAAGCCCTCACATGGAATCCTGAAGGCCGAAGGAGGCGAGGAAGACCAAAGAACACATTACGCCGAGAAATGAAGACAGACATGAGAAGAATGAACAACGATTGGAAGGAACTATATAGGATGACCCAGGACAGAGTGGGTTGGAGATTGCTTGTCGGTGGCCTATGCTCTATTGGGGGTAACAGGCGTTAGTAAGTAAGTAAGTAAGTAGGTAAGTAAGTAAGTAAGTAAGTAAGTAAGTAAGTAAGTAAGTAAGTAAGTAAGTAAGTAAGTAAGTAAGTAAGTAAGTAAGTAAGTAAGTAAGTAAGTAAGTAAGTAAGTAAGTAAGTAAGTAAGTAAGTGAGTAAGTAAGTAAGTAAGTAAGTAAGTAAGTAAGTAAGTAAGTAAGTAAGTAAGTAAGTAAGTAAGTAAGTAAGTAAGTAAGTAAGTAAGTAAGTAAGTAAGTAAGTAAGTAAGTAAGTATGTAAGTAAGTAAGTAAGTAAGTAAGTAAGTAAGTAAGTAAGTAAGTAAGTAAGTAAGTAAGTAAGTAAGTAAGTAAGTAAGTAAGTAAGTAAGTAAGTAAGTAAGTAAGTAATATACATATTAGGCCTAACTAATGTGTTTAACATTAATTATTGTAATTTCAATGATTGAGATTACAAGTCAATTGAAGCTAGACCACCATGGAAAATCTGGAAACACTGGACGGCCGATTCGTCCTATTGTGGTCTCCTCAGCAGTGCACATACACGATCTCGCCCTCGGGATTCGAACCAACGTTCTATTAGTCTTTTGCACGAGAGCTTAATCTCTACACAACTGAGCTGACCTTCATCCAACGGTGTCAATGTCTAACTTCAACTAATTCTTCATTGTCATCAATGAGTTCCTATCTCACAACTGACCCTGTTGAACTCTACTTGTCACTACTTCTCACTAGAACTCCAAGGTATACATCTTGAAGTCAGTCATTAGTGAACATATGTTGATTAGTATCAAAAGGGGTTTTGTAAAAATTGTAATAATTCAAATAGTTGAGATCATGGTGGTCTAGCTTCAATTGAAATGACTACAATCTTCACAAAATCCCTTCTGATATTAATTTTCATACTCAATCTTATTGTCTGCAACTTTCTTTCCCTTTTTCTAACCCCTATTCATATCATATTATATGATCACCCATCTCTGGACATTCTATATAATGAAAATGGAATTAATACAAATCTATTATGATAAATGAACAAACTATCAAAGATTTATAAAAGATTTCAGAAACAATACACAAAGGCCTTAATGAATCTAATTTCTTACCATACAACAACAAACAATACAAACTGTGCACAATCAAAAAAAAAGAAAAGAAAAATGATTAACTTTCTTTTATTGTTATCATCAATATACAAAGCTTAACATTTGACATTCTTATTGAAGTATATCAAGCTATGAATCTCTGCGTGTGTATGTTTATGCGTGTATGTATGTATGTATGTATGCATGTATGTATGTGTGTGGGTGTGTATAATCGAAATATTGACCATCAACAAAATTTATCAATAATAGATTTCTTATTGATTTTAGTGTAACTCAATTAGAACTGATGAATAGTCTCACTGTAAACAATCGTTTGTCTGTATAGATAATTAAATATATAAATATATATGTTGTTTTCAATTGAAGGAAAATATGAAATCAATCTAATCAGGATTCATTCAATTATTGATTAATGAAATTCTGGAATAATATTGATTTTAAATATAATTCATTGTTGATAAGGATGATAATAATGATGATGACGACAATATAATCACTGATAATAGTAATAATAATAATAATATACCTGAAAGCCATATTAGTTACTTAAAACAACATGTTGCTTTTGTTTAGATCCAGGAATAATTGTTCATTTGTATAATATAAATACAAATTAAAGATGATTAATTTTCTGTTACATTGTCATCAGTTTTATTATATTCTTCAGGTTGCTAAAATGATTGAAATGATTGAAATAGAAAATATGGAATTGAATGAATATACACATTGAAACACTATACATGTTAATTAACAAACATAGATGAATCAGAGATGAATGTTGAGTAACAGTGGAATGTAAGATATGAAGTCGTTTCAGGTGAGTCCCAAAGTGGACATCAATTCTGAGATGCAGTTACGTCTGGTTGATGAGTCTCAAATAGAATGAAATATGTATGTCATCGGTTACACTGTTAGTCGTCATTCATTTTTACTTAGAATGGTTATGATTTAAGACAATATCTTGGTAATCTGCATTAGATGTACTTAAGCAAATCAGAGACTAATCAATTATAGTTTTAAACTCCGCCTGGAGTCCCTCCCGGGGCTAATGCCGGTCCCAAGCCCGGATGAAGGAGGAGGGTTGGGCATGGGGTTAGCGAACCCATCCCGTAGAAAACTAACTCGCTAAAAAAACGCTAAAAAGGAAGATTTTAACAACCAGTACAAATGAATTCAACTGTCTTAATGTTAAACAATATTGAACGATAATTGAAATTAGGAAAAATTGATTAAACAATTGTAAACTGTTTTAAATTAATGAATAATAAATATTTTAATAGTTCAGTTTATGAGTCGATTGAAGCTAGATCATCATTGAAAATCTGGAAACAATGAACGGTTGATTCGTTCTAGTATAGGACTCCTCAGCAGAGCTCACCTACGATCCTATTCTCGGCAATCCATTGCTTCCAGGTTTTCCATAGTGGTCTAGCTTTAATCAACTCATCAATTCAACTATTAAAATGACTACAATCTTCAAAAAACCTTCCAAATATGTTTACATCAGTTTGAAATTACATTTTCAGTCATAATGAATATACATTTCGCTAATACATTTATAAACGATAGCAACTGAATGACAATCCCCGAAAATTGGTTCACATTTGTTATCTCAAAAGCACAATTGTTTTAGAAGCACAGAATAGTGAACTGGTACTTTTCCTTCATTTGTATACCGATCGAACTAGATAAGAAGATATCAAATACAAATTGAATTCATACATAAGAAAGTCGTTGGATAGGATGGGAACCAAATGTTATACATATATATATGTGTGTATGTGTTTAAATCAATGCATAATTAGTTTTATTCAAGCACAACATCTATACATTCAATCATAGCAACACTTATAACAAAGTGATCATTCAACAACAATTAAGTGTATAATATAAACTAACTTATCACTGAACTAACTAACTAACTAACTAAGTAGTAGACTAATACGTGTTTTGAATATCTGCTAACATATATACTCACTTGTATATAACAATGAAGAAAACTGTTCATTAGTAACTATATATACTTTCAATATTATTGTTAGAATACAATGGTTGACATGGTGTACAAAATTTTATTAAATGTTTATGATTTATTGAAATATTCACCTAAATTGATCAATATTTCATTTATTTGTTTTAATTAGTGACCAAATAAGAGAAGAAAAAATAAATGATGAACGATTACAGATGGATGACATAATCAAATTTAGAAACGAAAACAAACAAAAAAAAGAAACAACGATGGAATAGACTAACCTTTATGGAAATAGTATTACACTGGCATAAATGAATAATCAAACTATTATTCACGACTTTATATTGTATATTACATAGTACAGGGGAGATTTTCTGGCACATAAAGTGTATCTGAAGAGGTTTTGTGTGTGTGTGTGTCTCGCTCCAGGTGCTTAACCAACTAGACCACTGAGCCGGCTTCCAACGGTGTTAATGTTCATAAGTCAAGTTGTTCCATCATAATTTTGTCTTCGTCTAGCTTCAATTGACTCATGATTTCAATCAGTGAAGTTTCTAAATTCTCCACAAAACCGCTTCTGATACTAATCATCTGCTCACTAGTGACTGATTTCAAGAAATACTCCTGGAGTTCTAGTGAGAAGCCGTTACCAGTAGAGTTCAACCGGTCTGTTGTGAGATATCAACTCACTGAAGAAAATGGTATACAGTGGCGCAACTTCGTGGATTGGTTGAAGGAGACATTAACATCGTTGGATGCCGGCCGGCTCAGTGGTCTTGTTGGTTAAGCGCCTGGCGCGAGACGGCGAAACGGCCATCCAGTGCTTCTAGGTTTTCCATGGTGATCTAGCTTCAACTGACTCATGACTTAATCATGAAAATAAAGTGTAATTAAACTATAATCACTGTATTCAATATACATTTGGATACCAAGATCTTAAATTGATAGTACTAAAAGATATCCTAATTTATAACTAAACCATTCTTTTTATTTCCACTGATATTACATGTTGAATATTTTTGGAGACATGTGTTAGGGTGATATTGGTTAATGTAGAAGTAGGTTGAAAGAAAACCAATGATCGTCAAACCAAGAAATGGTATCAGTTTATGAAGTTATTGATTGCTTCCTAGTTGGATCCATGAGATAACTATGATCATTGACTATAAACTTTAATTAATATCGTTTAAATATCACTCATACCAGTGAAGATACGTTTTTAAATCATGAGTTTCAGAATTTGTTCATTTACAACTTTTCATTCTGTTACTTCTAATCATCATCACTACTGATACTGTGGTGAGTGCTACTGATGTCGACAGACATAAGTAGTATTCATCATCAATCGAATGTAAAATGTCTAGTAACAAAAGGTTATGAAGAAAGAAGAATGAGAACGGAGAATGATTGGTATAGAAATGAAGGAACAATAATATTTGAGACGAGTAATTAACATTTTGCAAATGAAGAATTTGTTGTATGGTTCTCAAATTTTACTAAGAGATTCTGTAATTTTGTGTTCAAATGCATTTGGTTGTCCCCACTAGTGTTCTCGTTCACTACACTATGAATAGGGATGGTTGTGAAAATTGTTCACCTTGAAACTTTATTTCACGGACCGATGTTAGTTAGACAACCTGTGAAAGCTAGGAAAAACAAGACGGTTGTTTCTTCCTCGTACAGGACTCTTCATTAGAGTTGATCAGATCGAGGACCTTCATGACACTCTATGAATGCTAAAACTATAGAACATTAAGTTGATATCCAATACTTTATATATATTGAAATTCAGTTAATTCACGTCAATTCTCAAATATCTTTAATGTCAAGGGTAGGTTTTTATGAATTGTCCAACTAATGTCTGTTCATGTAGTAAACTATAAAGTATTTTTGATGGGAAATCATAAGTCATTCTAGAAAATGTTTCTCTTAACATATTTATGAATCAAATGATTACAATCCACCGTCTACATACTATGTTCTGTATGTGAGAGGGTCAAGATTCTCATTACTAGTAAGGTTCAATTTAAATTTCTTTATGGCAATTAGGAATTATTTACTGAAATACTAGATTACAATAGGTGTTATATCCTAAACTGAATAATAAGAGCAATATAATATGATCCAGCTATGGTATAATGACCTGATCAAATCAAGTGAAAAATGACTCTTAGATTATACATAATAAGCATTATTGAATGTCATTCAAGGTATAACTTTATGAGTTATTAAGGTATCCATTTATAAAGTTTATTCATTGATGGTAACAAAACAACTGAGACTAGTAAATTAGTAGCGTTGTCTCTTGTTTATCATCTGAAGGATTAGTGACAGTAATCAGTAAACTTGGGATGGTTTTCACACGACATTACAACTCGACTGAAGCTAGAGATTAAAACTACTGAATATTGGGCTTAATTTTTTAAAGGTTGAATGCTCATTATTAGCCTAAACGTTTATGGGTTCAATTTATGCTGCGGTCGTGTAGAGACACTTCCAAGAAGTCCTATAATAAAACAAAATAATCATTCATTAATCTCCGTTTTTCAATATTTTTTCTGATTGAATTCAGTCCGTAATGTAAACTGTAATTATATCACTGATAAAACATTCTTTGAATTGATGAACTATATTAGTCAATCAGTCAGCAACAACGTAGAACTTTGTACATACGTAAATCAGTTCGAGCTGCTGTACTACATTAGAACAGAGATACAATTGTCGCTTCAAATGTCATAATGGTAAAGATAGTAAAAGTATAAGCATTAATCGGAAAGATCATGGTTTGAAGAAATTTGGAAAGAGAAAGAAAATAGGACATGAAGAATTTAGAAGATTAGATTTTGGGAGAACACAAAGTGTGGGATGCACCTGCGCGATTGCAAACGATTTTAAATCATGTTATTCAAGGTCTATAACCATCGGTTGCTATATAGTCTAAAATAAAAAATATGGTACCTAATTGATTAACCTATTCATATCTAATATTAACAATAAATCGGAGATATATGGTGTAAATTAATTTCTTTTGTGTGCTAAAATTCAAGTGTTCTTCATTTTCTAAAAAACTGTGTGCTTACATTCACATCATTTGTTAAATCTGGTTGTTGCTCGGTAATCGCTAAAACATCTGGCGTTTCTTGATTGTATGGAATTTCTTCTTTGGGTTCATCATGTTGACTATTATTTGATGGAAGATCCAATTGTTCACTTGATAATACAGGAACTATATGATTAGTGTTTGTTTCTTTGTGTTCTTCAGTTTCTATTTCTGTAATATCAGCATGATCATCATTTGTTGATTCGGCTACTTCTATTCAATAATAAAGAGAAATGATATCACAGATAAAGAAATTTCTAGAAGATATTGGTTGGATTTAGACTGCACGGAGCTGAAACGTGGAGAACTACTACAACCATCATCAAGAAGGTACAAGTATTTATAAATAGTTGTCTACGCAAGATACTCAACAGTCATTGGCCGGATACTATCAACAATAGCCTACTGTGGGAGAGAGCAAATCAACTTCCAGCTGAATAAGAAATCAAGAAAAGACGTTGGAAGTGGATAGGTTATACATTACGGAAAGTAACAAACTGCATCACGATACAAGCCCTAACTTGGAATCGTGAAGGGAAGCGGAAAAGCGGAAGGCCAAAGAACACATTACGTCAGGAAATAGAAAAGTATGAAAAGTATGAATAACAACTGGAAAGAGCTGGAAAGAATTGTTCAGGACAAGGTTGGATGGAAAGTGCTGGTGGGCGGCCTATGCTCCCCCACGAGGAGTAACAGGCTTAAGCAAGTAAGTAACAGTTTAATTTTGTAGTTGGGATCTATTCACGAAGGTCACATGTGAAAATGTTACTTACTATATTCAGTAGCAGAGTTCAAACTTTTGTTTGAACATCAATATAGATCTAGGCACATACAATTGTCATGTCCTGGATTAGACAAAATGTACTAGTTCTGTATTGTTCTTCTATATAAGGTGGGAATTTTTCCACATATGACTGTCATAATCAACAGTTCATTTGATGTATATAGATTAGCCTAATAGCTGAATACATCCTTACTATTAGTTTCAAATTAATCTTTCCAGCTATTTCATTACCCTTAAAATATAAGTCTTAAGAAGACAGGCTTCTTCTCAACCATAGTATATTCTATTACCTTCATTTTAGTCTTCTCATAGAGTTCAACTTTGATTAATTGATTATAATTTTATGACACGACTGAAAAAAACATTTAAACCAAAGTTCTTTAGTAGTTTATTGGATAGAAGCTATTGAAGTCAACTTAATGTATTTATGTTCTGAAGTTTGTGCTGATAATGTCGTTCAGAAGACCAATGAAAGCTTCATGACTAAACCATCTAACTCAAAAAAACAAAACTTCATCAAAATGTTATGTTCTGTTTCTATTCTAGGATATTCTTATATTAAACCTATAAATATCCACATTGATTAGCATACAAATATCTTCTATAGTTCTTACAATTCTATTGCCTTGTTCATGAGTCTTCACTGATTAGAACATTTCAATGTTGTCATATAAAGGATGTAAGCTGATTTCTAATGTTTAGGGGTTATAAGCAGCTGATGAGAAACTGCAAAATATAATGAATTCATATATTGAAAATTTACATTTATTGTTTTTGCTTTAGCTAGATTCGAATTTCAATTATCAAGCCATTTTAACAATTTAGTTACTACTTATTCCTTTATAAGGCATATGTAACATTCTATTATACTCATTCAATCTTTTTAAAAAAGACTGAACACTTTACTCTTACAATAATCAGTAAGTTATTCAGAAAAAAATTAGAGTCCCAAAATGAACATCAACTCAACTGACGAGTTCAATATAGGACGAAACACGCTTCCTAGATTCCACTAATACCCACTATCCATCTTTGCTTAAACAATTAATTAGTTTTTAACTGATATTCTTATAATCGAATACATGAAATCATTTGAATAGTTTCCTACTAAAATTTAACTTTACAATCCCTTTAACTAAAAAACAAACAAACAAACATCAACATTCACAATACATTAATCAATCATATAACCTAAATGTTCTCTTTCGGACATTTTCATAAAAGTCACCATAATCAATGTACGAATTCTATTTTAAATTATTTTTAAGCCAAATAATAATAATCGATTTTGTCAATTTGTGAAATCCGGCCAACTTGTATGAAAAAAATAAAATAAAATTTATTCAATTGAGGATAAAGTATGAAGAAAGAACAGAAGAAAATTTTCGGTTCCACGATCTCGCATGAGAGGTTTGAAACCAGTAGCTTTGGTCTCACGCGCAAATGCTTAACCTAGGTTCGAATTCTGTGAGCCGGATCATGGATGCTCACTACTGAGGAGTTTCATACTAGAACGTAACAGCCGTCCAGTGCTTCCAGGTTTTTAGTGGTGGTCTAACATCAATCTTTTCATGATCTCAATCAAAAACTTAACGACCTCCACAACCCCTATACTAATAATTACCATGTGCTCACTAGTGAGTAGCTCCGTGAGAAAATTCTCGAAGTTCTGGTGAGAAGCGGTGACCAGCGGAGCTAGTCCGTGTTGGGTAGAAACAGGTGTCTACCTCAGTACAATGGAAGATGGTCGTGCAATTTCGTGGATTGGTTGAGGTCAGACTTTAACACCAATCCATGTCGGCTCAGTGGTCCAGTAGGTTAAGCGTTTGCGCACGAGATAGAAGGCCCTGGGTTCGAATCCCACGAGCGGGATCGTGGACGCACACTACTGAGGAGTCCCACAATAGGACGAAACGGCCGTCCGGTGCTTCCAGGTTTTCAATGGTCTAACATCAATCGGTCCATGATCTCAATCGAAAACTTAACAATCTCCACAACCCCTAAACTGATAATTCAAAATTCATTTTACATTGTCTCCAATTATAATTATTCAGTTTAAAATACATATTTGAAATAGGATTAACGAGATTAGTAAACAACAATTGATAGTTTGAAAGTAAATGATGGAATACGAGAAAGTACACCATCATTTTAAAGATAAGTTTTAGATACAGTTGATGTGTTAATCAGTCAATCATAAGTAACAGAAAACCAAATACATGTGTCGATTCAAATTATCATACTACACCAGCACAACAAGATGAAATCATCAAAGTGAATGCAACTTTAGTACAAGTCGTAATAGTATCAGTAGTATTATAAAACATAGAAAATATGATTTGGAAAAAGAGAATCCATGAAATGGGATATATAAAACAATTTCAAAACACAGGTTCTAAGGGATAACAAGAGGTGAATTAGCTTATACTATTGTCACTAACTATCATCTATATCAACAAAAATCTCCAGTCAGTGGTGACGATAATTGGAAGGACTTCGACCACGTTGCATGCATCTGCGTACGCGTTCCAGTTCACTAGACAGTGACATCATGTACAAAAGCCATGTCTTTATTTGGCCATCTTAAGCTGATTTCATATCAGAAAATATTACATGCCGAGGTGGATGGTAGCTCAGGATGCATCGCACATACTTCAACTACTTCAGTCTATGAAGATTCACTACCTGACCAAATGATGTGCTTTTTTTACTTAGCACTCTTAGTTGAACATTTACATAGGTCAGGTTCTAAGTGCTTTATGGAGATGGCTTCTATAAACCAACTTGATAGTTAACTTGCTTATAAACTATTCAAGTATAAAATTATTTCCTAGTTTTGTCTATAGTAAATTTCTTTTTGTTGAAGAAGATAGAGATAGTTTAGTAAACAAAGTAATTTCATGTTTGACAATATCTATGACCTGGACTTTAAGGTTTACTTGATAGTTATTTATAATAGATATGATTGTTAACTAGGCAAAATAGGGTATGATTGCTTTATTATTTTAAACTGTTTGAAAATTTCACTTATCGAAATATTACGAGACCTAAAGGTCCTGGATTCGATCCTTAATAATGACGTGGACGTGCTATTCTGTTAAGTCACATACTTGAACAGAACAGCTGGCCAGCCCTTCCTGTTCTTCACCCATTGTTTAACCAAAGTAAATCCGTGATAAGAAACTTCAAATATTGAAAGCAGGTTATATATTGATAAAGGACGATGATTAAAAAATGGCAAAAGTGGTTTGGATCATGACCGCGTTACATTCATCACAGTTCACACTTGGGTTTTTAATTTAAAACAGAATGTCAGTTTTTTCAGTCATGCTCACCACTTGTCAAGTGGTTTGAACAAGCAGATGACTGAGGGTAATAATCGCGATTTGGCAACTTGAATCAGAATTAACGCGTTGTAGAATTTACTCACCGATTGACCTACACTCTTCTTTTAACGACAAAATAATAACGACTAGAAATGTGATTAGGAAGAGGTTATTTTTTCTCCAAATGTAAGTTGTCCAACAAGAGTTAGTTAGCTTTTAGGTACACATTTATATGACTCAAAATGATGGTTTATCATGAACACATTCATCAATCGGAGGTCATCTGATTACGGTAATATGGAACTAAGCAGAATAATGTGTTTCTATCAGACGTATTAATTATTTTGGTGAGGGAATATGAATAGTGAATCAACTTGATGATGTCACACAAAGATTATAATACTAGGTTATATTGTGTAAACCATAACAATGAAAGATTAGGTAATTTCTAAAAGATGTGGATGAGTATGTAAATGGATTAAGACAACTAAGATCAAGAGCCTGTTTTATTAATATCGTTGTTTTAATGATTATTGAATTTGAAAAAGAGACTGTTTAAAGTTGTTATATATTAAGAATTTCAAATTTCGTTTCACCTGTCTGATTGCTGAGGTAAATTCATGCTATCCGTGTTCAGCAAAATTTACGAGCTCACCAACACACAAAATAATGAGATATATATGTAGGGTCAGTGAAATGTCAATGGGCCCTAATCAAATCATCCAGCAGTCGGGTAATAACGTTGTTTGTGTTGTACGGTCATCAAAGCAGAAGTAGTACACCTGGATACAACGAAAGGGTAATCCATGTTAGGTACTAACTGCGAGGTGTAAGTTCGACATTAACTTATTGGTCACACAATTCCCGTCTAATTTGAGTAGGACCTTAATCATTCGATTCAGATCATCTACTTTAGTGATCCATTATATATGCATATATGGAACATTATGAAAGCGTTGTATAACATCTTACTTCAGAATGAACTAATTCTAGTTCCATGATGAACGTGTTACATATGCCCGACCACCGACTGCCTAGACGTGCTATGTTTTACGGTGTAGGAGTAGGTTGGAAGACAGCTAGGGGCGGCCAGACCAAAACATGGCACAAGTCTATGAGGTCACTGACAAGTGGAATGAGCCATGTTGGTAGGTGTAGACTACCTAGTTGGGGACCGCGAGATGGTAGCAACCGATGGTAAGAGACCCTGAATGACATGACTCAAAATCGTTTGCAATGGCGCAAGTGCATCCACTCTTTGTGCTCTCCCACATTCTAATCTTCTGAATTCTTCATGTCCCTGATTTTCTTTCCAAATTTATTTCACTATAATACACTCCTTGAATAACATCTTCAAACCCTGATCTTTCCGATTACTGCTTATACTCTTACTACCTTTACCACTACGGAATTCGAGTCAACAACTGAATCTCTGTGCTAATGTGGTGTGGCAACTCGAACTGATGTACGTACGTACGAAGTTCTACGTTGTTACTGACTGACGGATGAACGTAGTCTGATCGAGAAGATATTAACTCAGTTCAATAAAACTTCAGTTTATAAATTTAACAGTAAATTAAAACTATCACCTTTAAAATACTTCTCATTTATGGTAATGGACTTGTTCAATTCCTTTATGACTGTTTAGTTATTTTTACAAGTTCTGTTATATTAAGTTTCTTAGCTGCTTTATAGTTGTATACATTTAGAATGCAAAGGATAATGTAACACGGTGATCAAATTGATCTCAAAAAACTCGTAGAAAACTATCACTGAATATACATGTATATTTCCGTAATTCAATAATCATCTCTTACTCTCACAAGCTACTTGTTAAGCATCTGAAAGACCTCAAATGAAAGACAAAGTTCACTGTTTATTCTTTCAGAATATACTGATTTTGGGTACATAATAGATATCATTTATTTAATGATTAGACTATGTATATATGCACAAGGTTTGTTCAAACAATTATATCTACACTAGAGTTTTAGAAATATTGCTCGCATCTGCTAGGATCACCGTGTAAGTAAGAGTGAGGTTAGACGCAGGGTATTACCGAATGATGGTAAATCAGTTCATGAGGTTGTGAATTTCCATCGACTGAGATGGTTGAGTCACGTGTTACGTATGCTTGAACTGCAATTACCACGACGCACAATGCTGACTACTGTTGGAGACGATTGGAAGAAAGTTAAGGGCGGCCAAACCAAGACGTGGCATCCAGTCTAAGCCATGTTGGGAGATATGGACTACTCGGTTGGGGTCGGCACGACTGTCCTAAACAATGGTTGGAGACTGTGGGTGACATGTCTCAGAATCAACCACAATGGCGTCGGTGTATACACACTTTGTGTTCCCTTAAACGAAGAGATTAAAATTGCTTTATAACTTTCTTTCTGCGAATTAATTCTTTCTTCCTGTATTATATCCTTATACACAATCTTTCTTTTATATCTTACCGCCATTGAAGTAACTACTTCTATGAATTCATTGTTCATTTTCTTGTGCTAATGAAGTATGACAAATTGGACTAATGTATATATGTGCCTGATCCTACACTGTAGCTAACTAATAACTATCAAAAAGTATCATCAATCGTATTCAGAGTTAATAAAAAGCAATTTAATTATAGTAATTTAATAATTGAATTCATGAGTCCATTGAAGCTAGACTATCATGTAGAACCTAGAAGCACTGGACCGCCGTTTCATCCTAATCTAGGCCTCCTCAGCAGTACACATCCACGACCCCGCTTCACAAGATTCGAACTCAAGATCTATCAGTCTCTTGAGTAAACGCTTAACCTCTAAACGACTGAGCTGGCTGTCATCCAACTATGTTAATTCACTTGATATTGTTTTACTTGAATCTTCCCATTGATGTTTTAAGACTGAAATTGATCAGTCTCTTATTGGCATATGTGCATACTGTGCGTATGCCTTAATTTACAAGCATTATAAGCAAAGATGGATAGTGGCTAGCAGTGGAATACAGAATGCACGTTTCGTCCTATTTGGGACTCGTCAGCTGGATGTACCTGCATCTCAGAGTTGATATTCACTCTGAGACTCGAACTCAGTACCGTTCGCTAAGTTAATGTCTAACTTCAACCAATTATAGTTAAACTTCATTAATTTCTAATTAAGTAAATAGAATACAGTCAATGTAAAATCTAAGTAAATGTACTTTTGAAAAAAATCCAAGACAAAAAAACAATAATGATCATTAAATATAATTAAAATTTACCTGATTTACAATCTTTCAATCCACTTACACCACATCCCATTTTCTTTATTTAATAATGAAGAACAATTAACTTATGTATGTCTATCTATGTGTATGTATGTATGTGTATGTATGTATGTATGTGTATGGGTATGGGTAATATGAGGGTTCAATGTTCAGAAAAAAAAAGTGAATGAATATCACAGGAGACCAATATTAAATGTACAATTTAATCTTAATTACACTTTGTGTATTATATATAAATATATCTTGTTACTAATTAATTGTTGTAGTACTTTTACAGAAATCTTTAATTAGGCAATCATTATCATAGTAACATATATATATATATATATATATATATATATTACCTTAAACGAATTAGAAAACTTTCCTCTATTCATGTATATATGTTTCTATTGTTTTGTTTTGTGTTTGTTTAAACTAATAAATAATAATGTGTCATGAATAAACAAGGTCATTTGTTAAGGTCATTTGAATAGGTTTATGTAACCTTGACAATAGTCCCTAAGTAAAAATAGATTGATAAATTCAAATAACATAATTTTATTGAATATTGTTATTTTTGCTTGTTTGTTTGTTTGTTTGTTAGTGTTATACTCTAGTGAATGTTTAAATCATTTGAATATTAAGATTAACATTTCTGTTAGTAATTTCTAAGTGAATCGTTAGGTTATTTGTTTCCTTAGAAATTTATTATATTTCATGTTAATTATTCAAATACATAGTTGAAAAGGTAAATGTATATTTTGTATGTATGTATTTCTGTATGTATGTATGTGTATGTATGTATGTATGTATGTGTACATTGATTGTTGGTTGCTCCTGGTAACAAAGGTATATCAATGTTTAACTTTTTTGTTGTTGTTGCTGTTATTGAATAATTATAAAATAATTGAATAAAAATTGAATCGAATATATTTCTAAAAGGGTAATAGTAAACATGGAGATTATTATTATTTATTTATTTAAGATAATGTAGAATGAATTACACTATTTAAATTAACAAATGAATAATTTTTCTGGTTAGCGTTGTGTTTTTTTTTAACGAGTTAATTCTCTATGGGATGAGATCGTTAACTCCATTTGCAAATGCTAAGTTTGAAGCTATCACGAGTTTACTTAATTGGCGAACGAGAACAAGACTCGGTGACCAAAGACCAGTAAGCTAGCTATTGATGCGTCCCAGCCCCGCTAACTAGAGAGAGAAGTTCAAGATTGGAATGGGAAGTATATTCTGCAAAACAGCCAGAAACGAGAGATAACAACAAACACAATTCAAAATGTATATATACAGTGCAAAACCGTCCTTGGGGAAAGTTACCAAATAGCATACTAAAAGATGCAACGGACCAATCGCATTTAAGATATTTCCCAGTGGGAAATACGACATGAAGGTGACAAGAGCGCCTTTGATGAGAAAACAAAAAAATTCAAATTTTCTTAATAAAATTACAAAATTAGGTCCTTTCCCAAGTGAGTTCTGGGGATCTGACGTCCCCAACATCAAACCCCTTCCTTTATCCGGGCTTGAGACCGACAGTTACCTCAGAGAGGCTCCAGGCGAAGTTAAAATAACAAATAATCTTGTTAAACCTGTTATAATTTACGGGTTAAATTGTTTTTAATCTGAGCTTAATTAACATTTTTAAAATGTGAAGCTATTTAATAGTGAAAGTATGTAAATTATCTGTAATCAAAAATTCTACTAGAGCTACAGGGTGAAGAGATAATGGAGTAAACTACTTAGAACTTCATGAAACTTGAATCTAAAGATAGTTCCCAGTTAGGAGGAATATTCACAATTCGTTTGAAAGTAAGGTGGAACTGTAAATCAAATATTAAGAACATTGAATGTCAATTTATCAGTAGATCATTAATATAGCCAAGATGCTTTCAACTGTAGAGCATGTTTGGTTAGATACTGTTATATGAACATTTGGTGATGTCATTCATTAAGTGAATGTCAAAAGAAAACATTTGACAAGATATATGAACCATATACCACCTAGAGAGCAATTATCAATTAAAAATCTCTTAAAGTATAACCTATCATTGGTTGCTTTATTGATACAATTAATCAAGAGCAACCAATTTATAGCAATAGAAGTAGCAATCGCACCTTAAAGAGAACATAGGAGAAATACTGATTACCTTAGTGTCTTCAGCTGAATCCACAAAGCCACACTTAATTTCATGAAATGAAACTAATACGGTATGCCAATCTGACGTGAATTGAATAATAAAGCTTCCTTTTATAAACGATGCGACACGTATTATTGGTTGAAAATTTGACTTTATTATTATCATTAGCTTTATTCAGTGTTACAATTTTGGTCTAGCTTCAACTGACTCATGATCTTAACCATTGAACTTACTTTAATATCCACAAAATCTGTCTGATATTAATCAACATATGCTCACTAGTGACTGGCTTCAAGAGGTATATCCTGGAGTTCTAGTGAGAAGTAGTGACATGTGGACTTCAACCAGGTCACTTGTGAGATAGAAACTCACTGGTGACAATGGTGGATGTGTCGCCCAATTTCATGGATTAGTTGAAGTTAGACATTAACACCGTTGGATGTCGGCCGTCTCAATGGTCTAGAGGTGAAGCCTTCACACGCGAGAATGACAGGTCTTGAGTTCGAATCTGGAGAGATGGGATCGTTGATGCACACTGCTGAGAAGTCTCACAGTAAGACGAAACGGCCGTCCAGTGCTATCAGGTTTTCCATGATTGTCTAGCTTCAATTGACTCATGATCTGAACTATTGAAATTACTAAAATCTCCATTGATACTTTGTGAATACTGTAGAAAGGATAATCAAAGAATGAATATATATGATGAATCACTATCCAGAGTGAGATTGGACAAAAGCTATTGAAATTGAGATAAATCTCATCCCATTTGTCTGCACCTATCTTCGTTCTTGCTCCCTTTAAGAATTCATTTTATTCTGTAAAACTTGTTTTTCTTAAATTTAAATTTAATTCACATGCATCTTCCCATTGTTGTTTAGGACTGAAATTGATCATTTTCATGTTAGCATATGTGCATCCTGTGAGGACTGCCTCGATGTAGCTTTAATTCACAAGCGTTTTTAATCCAAGATGGATAGCGGCTAGCAGTGGAATCCAGGACACGCGTTTCGTCCTATTTGGGACTCGTCAGTTAGATGCTTTTCTTGCTCTACTTAAATTTATCAAAAGATGTGGTTGTTTGAAATTAATTATTTTTGTTAAAATTCATTTTGCTTGAATGGCTAGGTTTATCAGGGTCTAAAATGGGTCATTCATTTTACCTCAAAATGGAATGACACAGGTGAATTATTGTAAATCCACATAGAGTAGGTCCTACTGATGACATCGTTCTTTTATCGAAAATGTATTATGTAAATGAGTGAAATAGTCCAAATCTTTGGTTGCAGAGTAATGGGTGAAAGTTCGTTAAACTTGCTTCAATATATAATAGCAAACACTTTTCTTGACAGATTTTCCAGTCTAGTCTACTTAACTGTTGTTGGCAGACGTGTGTAAGTCTTTCGAAATAACAAACATACAAAGTAGAGCTAATCTTTTAACAGCTGAATATCCCAATGTGAAACAATGTGACCAATATGGTTTATGGTAGAAAAATCAAATTATATAACACATAAAGGCTATTTAAACGGTAGGATGGAACATCTGAATGCGTTAGTTTATGTTTAACCAAGTAATTGATCTAATGGACACTGAATATTATTTACAATTATAATTTAGCTACTGAGTTTATTTAAGTAGTGTAACTAGATTCACAGATTCGTGTTGATTTAATTTTCTCAGTACCACATTCTTCGATTCTTTAAAATTTATATGGATAGCGGCAACGTAGTCGCCAAAAAACGAGATATTCATATTGAAAAGAGACGATAGTTAGATATTTTATCACGAATTAATCCAAGAATTAATTGAGCTTTACTTCAGAATAACTGTATTCATTTTGTCTTCAAACTATTCCATTAGTGACCATTAGATGACGTTTCAAGATAATCTAGTGGATATGTATTCGATCAGCTGTTATTATTACAAGTGGTTATTTAGTTCCTAGGTTTAGCTATTAGTCATTTCTGTGGTTGATTCCTAACTTCCTAGTCAACTTATAATGTGTCATAACTTCGGTGAATAACCACATCTACGGATTTACAGATTATGAAAAACTATTTGATTTTATCCTAAGCCATTTTGTAATAACTAAGAGATTATGAAAGGGTAATTCAATTCAAATTTGATAACCATTGTGTGAACAAGCAGATGTTAGGCCACATATTTTGATGAATTAATAGTTGAAATTGATGGAAATTTACATTTCAAAGGTCTTTGTAACAATTGAATTCACATAATCTCATTCACTCTGGCAATTAGTGAACTGTAAAATCAATGAACTATTCCAATTAGTCACTAATAATGCAAACGATTACAATTCGACTTTTCGGTAATTCCATAGATTTTTACACTTAAAAACTTCAAAGTTATTTTGACTATAAAAGATCAGTTCCAGGGAGATGGTTACCATGGATTTGGTTTCAAAGCACCATGATAAGGAATTATTCTAAGACGAATAGTTATTTCACAATGCACCTAACCGAACTTCGGTATACCACTTTTAATAAACTTGGTTTTTCCCTACAACAAATATTTTGAAGAATTTCACTTCAACAAATAACAGTTCAGAAAACTTAATTATGAAATTTAATATAGTCGAGTTCATGAGTCAATTGAAACTAGACTACGATGGAAAACCTGGAAGTACTGGACGGCTGTCTCGTCCTATCATGTGACTCCTCAGTAGTGCATGTCCACGATCCCGCATCGCGAGATTCGAACCTAGGACCTATCAGTCACGCGCGTGGACGTCTAACCTCTAGACAACTGAGCCGGACAGCATCCAACGGTGTTAATGTCTGACTTCAACTAATCCACGAAATCCATTTTATTAATAAACAAACCCTACATTACTGTTTTTTATTCCTTTATAAGAACCTGGTTTCAAATAACTTGTGTAAATAAAATGATGAATTTTTAGACTAACCAAAACTATCAAATTTTGAATATGTTTATTATTTTGCAATTTAAAAAATGATTACTTTTATTAGTCTGTAGTGACCTACTTTTATCAAGAGAACGCGACTGGTGTTATGGAAACAATTACTATTATAACCAATTGTACCAGGGATTGTTTTATCGTACTTGTTTGTTTAACGGTACTAAATACATACATTCTTCCGTCGATTGTGACCTTT